GCCCGGCGGGGGCCGGGGCCAGACCCCCGCCGGCCGCGGCACCTCCGGCGCCGGGTGAGTGAGGGAAGGAGGGAGGGAGGGAAGGCGGGCAGGGGCGGCGGCGGGGGCGCCGGGCGGCGTGTGGGGAGACGCGGGAAGGGCCGAGCGGCGGCCAAAGCGGAGCGCTGGGGGAACGCCCGCGTCCCTGCCGGCTTCCCCCCGTCCCCGGCAGCGGCCCTTTGGTTCGGGGACCCCTTCGAGCGGCATCGCGGGCTGTCGGTCGGGGAGAAGTGAGAGCCCGGGTGCTGTGGGAGAGGAGAGGCGAAGGAGGGGGCTGGGGGTGCTCCTGGGGACGCGAGGTCCCACGTCCCGCCGCGTCCCGGGTGTTCGGCGTGACCGCGGGTAAGTGACGGCTCGCCCGCCCGAGGTGCTCCCCTGCGAGTGACCCAGCGGGTTTAATGCTCGTTAACGTTAGGTATTAGGGTTTAGGAAGCGATCGGGAAAAACTGGTAATAGGTGTCGGAAAGGGACTTGCCTCTCGTCAGGGAGAAAACTCAAAATGACTTTTTTCTCCGGCAGAAGAGCAGTCGGAAGTGCTCCGGGTGCAGTTTGTATCTACATCTCCTTTCTGAAATTGTGTGTGTGTGGTGAAATTAATCAGTGGTGAGACCGTGAAGAGTAGAGAGTAAAAAGATCAGCTTTGTTTACATAACGACACCGCTTAGTTATATCAAAATACATCTCTGAAAAATAACCCTTGTGCGTGAAGTCCTTAATTAACGTTGCACGGACAAGGTAGTGAACAACTAACGTGCAGTTTGTTGATGCAAAAGACGTTCCTAGAAATTCAGTTAAAATACATCTTTGACTTTCATCTTTCCAGGATAGCAAGGAGCATCCTTGTACTTTGATCACTTGCCAAGGCAGGAATTTTTCTTTCCGATTGCGACAAAAATATTGGCAGTAAGAGAATTTTTTCTTAATTCGGTTATGTATGATGCTCTTCTGCATTTGTTAAAAGTTATTTGTGCACTGTGAAGAGCAGGCAAGTGCTTTTAGGGAAGGAAGAAGTAAAAGAGTATTCAAAATATTCCTGAAACAATAGACGAAGTGATCTACAGTGTGCTGTTTGGTTGGTACAGATACACCCAATTCTTAAAGACCTGAATTTTGGAAAGTAATGAGACTTTGGTCATTCCAAGAAAATCCCAGCCAGCTTTGGGGACGTTGTGGTTAGGACTGATGAATGTGAAAAGATGTAGGGCATGTTGACTGACCAGTATAACTTTGTCACCTTTTGTAGCTAGAAAAAAACAGTTTGGATGTAATATTTGATCAGAACAGGGATCTTGAAAACAGCTGAAGGAAAGACCATGACACTGTTTGCCTTTCCTCACTGAAGAAGTCATGGGGATGAGAATGGTCTGGTTTTGGTGGTTTTTTTTTTGCTTCTGTTGTTAATATTCACTTTGAAATTATGAACTTGAATGTTTGTGCTATGAAGTTTATGGAATGTTGCATTGTGGTTGATAAAAAATACTTATATGGAAGTAAGATAAATTGAAACTTCACTAGAAATACCCAAATAACTTCTACAAGCAGTCACTTTACTGTGCCATTAGAGTGAAGGTTTAGTTCTGTAGATTGGTTTTGAAATACACCCTGTTGGAATAGAGACCAGTCTACTTTATTTTGTCCTAGACATGTCATGACAGTAACAAATCTAAGCAAAACAGCATAACATACATTAGTACGCTATAAAAATATAAATGAGCTTCAAAATCATGACAAATTTAAAAGATATTGATGCAAATCAGGAAATGCAGAGAGAGAGAGAAGCTCAGGTCATGTTGTTAATCTGTCTGGAAGTGCAAAATTGTTCCCTTGTGTCCATTTATTGATCTATCCTGTTCAAATTATACTTTCTGTTAGTATAACAATGAGTGTTTTTAATGAATCATTCGGAATGTACCTGCTTCCTTTGATTTCTAAAACCTGGGATGAAAATCTGTGAGGAATCACATGTGTAGTTTTCTCCATTGGCTAAAGACCACTCTTGTGGGAGACTGTATGTTCCTTGAACTCCTGCCGGGCTTTCTGCTGGATTTCATTGATTTCTCTTTGTCCTGAAGATGCTCCAGGACCTTGCTCACTTCTCTGGGCATGGCTCCCTCTTGACTGGCTTTGGGGGAAAAGTGAGGGAAGTTTCTGTGCTCTCTCCGTATCTCAATGGCCAAAGAGCCCTCATTCAATGCAGTGTCTCCCCAGTGTGCTCCTTGTTCTCTCAAATGGTTTTGCAAGCAGTGAAACAGCGCAGGATTTTGGATTGATGGCTTCACTTGTTCCACTCTGTGGCATCCAGACCGGTCACTCAGACCCATGGGATCGCCACCAGCACTGGAAGGGGAGAACTGCAAAAGTAAATCCAAGCCATCTTGTCTGGTAGAAGTATTTGGACATCTGTGTTAGAATGGATTAAGATTCTGGTGTTTACATTTTTACAAGGGGATCATCCAGATTTTCATTGCAGCCTAGGAGTATGGCTTAGCAGAAATCCTAGAAAGTCAGGAATGGTGATCTGTTTGTGAAAAGCTCCCAGATCTGGCTTTCCTCATGTGAAATAATGTCTTCTGTACTTGACTTAATAATTCTGGGTTTAGAAGTTTTCCATTTGAGTTTTCTGTTTGTTGTTTCTTCCCCTCTGTCCTGACTATATTCTTTTCAACCTGGTTTCCTACCGAGATGAAGCTAAAACAATAATGCCATCTTGACTGTTAGCCCCCCTCATTGTCCTAGAATAATTTTTTACCCCTGGGGATCAATTTCAACTGATATAAATAGAAGAGTAGAGATTTCAAAGGAATAGAATTCTTACAAACCTCAAGACTGCTGGTGGCCAGGAAGATGAGAGAGATGAGGTTGATGCCCCCACTGAGGGAAGAGTAAATGTAAAAAGCAAGCATTCAGCTTATCAGACATGAGAAAATTTGTGTGGGTGCTCCGTAGGATGCTGACCTTCCTAGCTGCTGCTACTCAGGAGTGAGCAATTATATTTTTCAACTTCTCTGCTCCTTGGGAGTGCAGAGTCTTGGAAGTTTTGAACATGCCTTTTTTCCTCCATAGTCCCCTCAAAAGAAGCTCTATTTCTCTGAGATGTTTCTGGTAATGACATATATATAAATGCTGTTGTTCCTCAACTACCTAAACTGACCTGTTGCTTTCCTAGCCCATAATTTAAAACTTCTAGCTAGATACAGGGTTGATAGCTGATGGTGCAGTAATTTTTCTTTTGTTACCTTGACCCAGTGCAAACACTCGATTACTGTGTTCATAATAAAACCTACTTTCTTCCACAGTCAGTTTCTCTGAATTGCTTACAAGTTTTTGATTAGACTTTAATTTGCTTCTTACTGCCACTGCTGTTTCTTCTGGTTATGGCTGTTTCTGAATGTCCTCTTTTGCTTTCTCTGCATAGCGGGACGCTGTAGCACTCTTCCTGTGTCATGACAGGAGAAGGATAATGGAGGAGAAATGTAAAAAGGTATTGTGAGTTTATCTAGCAAGACCTTTATGAATACATGGTGCTTTTATTGACTCGTAAGTGGTGGTTATTCTGATTATTTGTTCTGTTACATAACTGAAGTTAAGAGCTCTATTTATGGGTAATTGCCCATTTTCTCCTTCCTTGTCTTTCCAACATTAATACCATCTCAGTACGTCCTTTTATCTCTCTCTCATTACCTCCCTAAAAAATTGCTTTGGGTGTTTGTTTTGTTTTGTTTTTTAGAAAGCTTTAATAGTATAGTAAGTTGATTTGCTAGGTTTTTTCCTGTTGTAGAAATTGTATCAACTGGACTTGCTCTCTGGGCATGAACATACATAAGTAAATGAAACCAATTTAGTAAAGTGCTTAGTGGATAATGTTGATTTCTTTTAAGTATTTGTCTGCATTCAAGTTGCACTAAGCTCTCCTTTACATCTTCTAGAAATCGTTTATATATTATTAAAGCCTGTATTCCTCACCAAAGACAGAGCGCCGTGCTTGTATAGCAATTACATTTGACTTTAGTCTCCTGGTTTATATTAGCAAGAGGAGGAACGAGGCGCACAAGAACGTCTCTTTCTCTGGGAACAAGCACGTATGCTCACATAACATCTTGCTGTGCCTCGTCTTCTTGCACTTTGATGGAGCCAAACATCTTTCCTTCCCCGCCGCAAGGACCTGGCCCCAGTGGGCACGCCGGGCTGGGTGCCACCCAGCTGGTTTAAGAGGCAAGTGCCACAGCAGTTTCTCACCCCCCAGCCCTCACCAGCGGTTGCATCGCTCCCAGTAGCAGTGTACATAGGTGCTACCCAGTTTGTTTTCGGTTAAGATGCATCCAAGGGATCTTAAAACCCTGCCGGTAGAAGTGTTTAACTTGAACCACTGCGACAGATCGGGTAGGGTGTGCAAACCTGTGCCCTTCCCTTGGCAGGTCGGAGAAGGGCAGGGCCATCCTGCAGCGAGGGGAGCGTGGCCCCTGCCCGTGGGCTGGG